CTCTGGAACAGCATTCCCTATTGAATTTGATCTGAAAAACAACTGACATGTACAAAAGTCCTATAATGTTTATTGTAAATACTTACTCTGAATGATAGCCACCCATGTATGATAGAAATTCAGGTTTGAAATAGTAGAAATGCTAAATTTTGATGAATTTTTATCATTATAATGGCTGCCATTCAGCCATTTTAAACTTGATCGTCAAATTGAATGCATGTGCATATGTGTGACATGATGTTTTTATGTGATTGGTCAATGCATGTTGGAGATATGGAACAGTATTTGTTAAATGTCAACCAGTCTGCCATTTTGAATGCAATCTGACGAAAAAATAGTTCCAGACCTGTTTACAAACTGGGATTTTATGATTTTAAGACAAAATGGCTAACAAATTTGATCAAATCACAACAACACTGGTATTATCTCATGTACAAACTTTCAACTGAATCAGGCAATATATCAGTGAAGATTCAGCGCGGAAATGAATAAAAACAAAATGGCCACCAGTCGGCCATTTTCGTCTGAATCTCAGAAATAATGACATGCATCTGTAACCTAATATGCATGACCAGGATACAACATTAAAATCACCCTGTTCGTGTCTCAGAAGTGGTTCAATACGTTTAAGTATCAGGATTTAGCAAACTTGACAACCAAAACGGCTGCCAGTCAGCCATATTCTATCAAATCGTAAAGAAATTTGATGTGCATATGTAAGTTTGAATGTAATCAGTCAAAGCATATCTGAAAAATGGCTCCAGATGGGCCACATAGAAACATAGATGGACAAACATATGAAACCCAAAATAACAGTCTCCGAGTTCAAACCAGGGCATAATTACAAGTACCAAGGTCAATGTAGATACCAATTTTGAATGAAATTTGTCTATGCATGACCAAAAAACACTTCTGGAAAAGCAGAAATGCTTGATTTTGAAGCATTAAAATGGCTTTGATCATGACCAATCAAGTCATGTCCAAGATACAGATTGGAATGCATACATGGATGAACAGATGTACAGAGGTCAGTCCATGAGTTTTCTGACTGCGTCTGACAGGGACTAGAAATAAAAGAAAAATAATTGAACATGCATGCTACAAAATACTGGTACAATCAG